AAGGGGCGGAATCTAAGCTCCACCTGCTTGTTTTACCAGGGCCCCTGTGGTGGGGGGGAAATTTGGGGCAGGCCGAGACCAGGGGCGGGCCCCTGGGTTTTACCCAGCTGTGGTAAAGCAAAACCCTTGGAGGGGTATAGCGGTGAGAGTCCGGGTGTGAGGGGGTAACAGGAGCAGCGTCAGGGAAGCCGGGGCGGTAAACAGTGGTGGCGGGGGAAAATACAAAATTCAGCAGGCAGAGGGATAAACAGGGGAAAAGCCGGGTTTTTTTTGCAGGAGGTTTAGAACGTACAGGGGGCAAAGGGAGGTTTTGGCAACAAACAATCTACTCAAAGGAACTCAGGAACACAGATAAGACCCTAGGCACTTGAAACAAATTTCAAGAGCCGGGTTTTAAAAATCCACCCGACTCCTGAAAAGGGACTCCTTTTGGGGCCCAGTGCTTTTTCCTAGCCCCCCCCCCCTTTTTTTACAGGGACGCCCCGGGGCCCCAGTTTCCTGCCCGCCTGTTTCGTTTTTGTCAGGGTTCTAAAGCATGTGCAGATTCGATCACAGCGGGGATCTTCCCCTTTCCCCGACAGTGGTTCCTTTTTTTCATAGGGTGCTGGCAGAAACGGGCCCCCATTGGGTGCTTGCCAAAGGCCCGTAAACGGGCCCTGGGGCCCCCCTTAAACCGCCTCCTTTTGCGCTGCCCCAAAGGCCCCCTAATCTGTCCTGGGGCCCGTAAAAGGCCTCCCTTTTCTGCGTCTCCCCTCCCACACTCTGCCAAAGTGCCCCCTTTCCCGGGCCCTCACACCCCGCTGGGGGTGTTCCATTTTTCATAGGGGCCGGCAGATTACAGGCCCCCATTCTGCTGCCGGCCCGTAAAACTGCCATGGGCCCCCGTAACCCCCCCCCCAACCCTCATGCTGCGGCCCGGCCCGTAATCGTCAGGGGCCCTGTAAAGGCCTCCCCTTGCTGCTGTCCCCCATCGGGCCCCACCCCGCCATGTGCCACTTTCAGGGCTCCTCACACGCTGGTTTGTTCCATTTTTCATAAGGGGGGCTGGCAGATTTTCAGGGGCCCCCCATTGCTGCGCCAGGCCCGAAAACTGCCATGGGGCCCCCTACCCAAAACCCCCTCCTCAATTTCGCTGCCAGGCCCCGGGAATTTTGCCCTGGCCCCCCGAAACCCCCCTCCCATGCGGCTGCCAGGGCCCTAATTTTGTCCAGGGGGCCCTGTACGGGGCCCCCCATTGCTTGCTGTTCCTCCACGCCCACCCCTCTGCCATGTGCCACTTTCAGGTTTTCCTCACACCCCGCTGGTGTGGTTTTTTTTTTTTTCATAGGGGCTTTGGGAGATTACGGGCCCCCCATTTCTGCTCCAGGCCCGTAATCTGTCATGGGTCCCTGTACGGCCTCCCATTGCTGCTGTCTCCATCGCCACACTCTGCCATGTGCCACTTTCAGGTCTCCTCACACTGCTGGTGTGTTCCATTTTTCATAGGGTGCTGGCAGATTACAGGCCTCCCATTGCTGCTGCCAGGCCCGTAATCTGCCATGGGCCCCTGTCCTGCCTCCTCATGCTGCTGCCAGGTCCAGAGTCTCTCATGGGTCCCTGTACGGCCTCCCATTGCTGCTGTCTCCATCGCCACACTCTGCCATGTGCCACTTTCAGGTCTCCTCACACTGCTGGTGTGTTCCATTTTGTCATAGGGTGCCGGAAGATTACGGGCCTCCCATTGCTGCTGCCAGGCCCGTAATCTGCCATGGGCCCCTGTACCGCCTCCTCATGCTGCTGCCAGGTCCAGAGTGTCTAATGGGTCCCTGCACGGCCTCCCATTGCTGCTGTCTCCATCGCCACACTCTGCCATGTGCCACTTTCAGGTCTCCTCACACTGCTGGTGTGTTCCATTTTGTCATAGGGTGCTGGCAGATTACAGGCCTCCCATTGTTGCTGCCTGGCCCGTAATCTGCCATGGGCCCCCGTACCGCCTCCTCATGCTGCTGCCAGGTCCAGAGTCTCTCATGGGTCCCTGTACGGCCTCCCATTGCTGCTGTCTCCATCGCCACACTCTGCCATGTGCCACTTTCAGGTCTCCTCACACTGCTGGTGTGTTCCATTTTGTCATAGGGTGCTGGCAGATTACGGGCCTCCCATTGCTGCTGCCAGGCCCGTAATCTGCCATGGGCCCCTGTACCGCCTGCTCATGCTGCTGCCAGGTCCAGAGTCTCTCATGGGTCCCTGTACGGCCTCCCATTGCTGCTGTCTCCATCGCCACACTCTGCCATGTGCCACTTTCAGGTCTCCTCACACTGCTGGTGTGTTCCATTTTGTCATAGGGTGCCGGCAGATTACGGGCCTCCCATTGCTGCTGCCAGGCCCGTAATCTGCCATGGGCCCCCGTTCCGACTCCTCATGCTGTGACGTTGCAACAAGGTGGAATTCAACCCTACATATGTTAACCGCCTTTACGAACAGCGAAAGGCCATCACCGATTTCCTGATGTTACAAGCGGATAAAGGTACTCCCCTGTGTAACTTAGATGTCAGCCATTGGCAGCTCATGCGTGACACCTGCCGCTTGCTCAGGCCCTTTGAGGAGGCCACGCTATTCGTGAGTCGGCAGGACTATGGGATGAACGACGTCATTCCTCTGTTGCACGTCCTGGAACAAATGCTGTTAACAATGGCTGGTCAGGGTGCGGTAGACGCACCCTGACCAGGCCTCCCATTGTTGCTGCCTCCACCGCCACACTGTGGCTCCACACTCTGGTTTTGGCCCCGTGACTGCCCAAATGAGTGAAGTGTGCGGTGATTCTAAGATCGACGGCACTCATCTGCATGTCATACTGACTGACAGTATTATTTCTCTTCCCCAGCAGACTCCAAGGGCATTTAAATTAAAGGTACAGTGTTCTGCACTAATATAAAGGCTCTCTGAAGCCTAGAAACACCTTTTTATAAGTTAAATTCGCAGCGAATATATTTGCATCGAATCGAATTTATTCCTCGAATTCGGCGAATCAGCCGAATCGAATTTTTGAATACTTCGCTCATCTCTAGTTCTTATCCTCCCAGGTCTGCTGCCTGGGGAGGGTGTGCTGAGTTACAAAGAAGCCCAAGTCTTAGGCCCAAAGCTTCCTGCTATCCTGCTGGATGGTATATACAGAGGAAGTAGAAAAGGAAGGTGATTACCTAGACTGGAGTATGGGTGATAAACTTCAACTGGGGACATTGCAAGAAGACTTCTGGCTCAACCATAGAGTGTGAGCGCTGAAATTGCTTACGGGCAGTGGTCCAATGAATATAGAATTGCTGGCCTGGCATGCAGATACAATTTCTGTGTGACTGTGTGTAGGTTTTTTTTTTGGAGTCTGCATGTTTAAAGTCACTGGTGCCCATTTGTTCACAACCTGACTGTAAGTCTAGACCTCAACCCTGAGGGAAATTATAAGCTCACCTGAGTCCATAATAGCCTCTAGGGGGTAAGGGGGTATTACACATATCATGAAATTCAGAATAAAGGCCTTGTACTGAGTTAGTTGTGCACAGCAGCTAGATAACTAACAATTGCAGAATAAGCAGGGCCAGATTTTTAAATAACCAGTGTAGGCCATGGCCAAGGGTGGTAGAACTTCCAGGAGGAGTACACAGGCACCCAAACATCATGATGGTGCTGTAATTCCTGTGTATTATAGAAGGTTTTAGACTGCTTCTCTGTATGTAAGAGTGATCTAGGTAGGTCCCCATGTTTTTTTCCCCTAGTGCAGTTTGTGATTTTTTTTTTTGTTGGAATAGTTTACCGTCTTCATAAAGTTCACCCACGCTTTTTCTATATACCGAAGCATCTGGTAGTTTAGGTTGTGACATTTTTCCCCATTCTTACAGTTGTTGGTCCCAGACTGACATAAAATTGGCACTGTCTCTTTCAGCCAGTTAGCCCCAGGTGTGGTTTATGTGGCTATGATGTTACATTTTGTTAGTTTGAACTAAGGCTAGCCAGTGAGCTGGTGTAGAAGAGAAACAGTACAGCCAGTTGGCCTAGGGGGGCAGTAAATATAAAGTAAAGCACCCCAGAGACTGAAAGGTCATCGTGCTATCTATTAATTTGTAATTTTCAAATAAGAGATCAGGTAACCTGAGCAAATTTATTAAATCAGACAATGCAGTAAAATGTAAGGTTTATTTGTACTTTCTGGGCCCCCTTCACAAATCACCTACTGTTTGCATGTGTGTTTTTTAAATTCCTTGTAGCCAGCAGTGGGTTGTAGACAACCTGCCTGTACTACAACAGAAACACTAGCTGTGATATTTTTTTTTAATTTGAGCTAACATTCAAATTTTCAGGACAAGCTTTGAAGGTTAAACCCCTTTCTTCTAAGTACTACTTGGACCTTAGAAGAAAGGGGTACACCCCAAAAGTTTGTCTTGAAAATTGTCGAAAATGTAAATGTTGGTACAAATAAAAAAGTAGCATAGACAGTACTCACATGTTTTTGTTGCATTAGCACTCAATTGGATTGGTTTTCTAAGCATAGAGGGTATTTTCTCTGCCAACTGATGTTTAAGCTTGCTCCAAGGAGGTGTGCTAGAAAGATGTTATGGATATTTGATGGATATTTGATATGCTGACCAATTAGTGGGTCTGGGGAACCTTCTGTTGCATACTGGGAGAGATGATAAATATATGAGATATTCCTGCCTATCTCTTACCTCTTTGGCTTATTCTTTCATCCTAGAAGTCTGTCTGTTTTACCAAACCCTGGACTAGGGATGGAAGGAAGGATCTCGCCTTCCTGGTAGGAATCCCTAAAGGGGAGAGTATAAACCCTAGACCAGAGGTAGGCAACCTGCTGCTTTCCAGCTGTTGCAGGACTACAAGTTCCATCATGCCTCTGCAAGTCATAGCTGTAACTGTCAGTTTTGTAATGTTGCAATGCCTCATGGGAAATGTAGTTCCACAACAGCTAGAGAGCCGCAGGTTGCCTACCCTTGCCCTAGATGAAACAAGCTGCAACCAGGGGTGGACTGACCATTTGGAAACTCGGGCACTGCCCAAGGGCCTGGGGTCAGCAAGGGGCCCCATTAGATGCCCCTGGTACCTTTCTCATAGGCTTTTTTGAGTTTGGGCAAGGACAGAGGGGCCCCATGATCCCCTATTGCCCGGGGCCCCCAGTCCACCCCTGGCTGCAACTGTCCTTCACATGTGTAGATGTGATAAATGACTTACTGAGTGGGAAGTATATACAAGAATCTTTCAGTTACCTGTCTTGAAAACTGGATTTCCAAGTAACCAGAGCTTTATTAGATTCTAACCAGCACAGTATGCATATTGAAGAAAGCCATGAGAGACTTTTGAGAATGATCTAGAAGAGATTAAGGCCCAGCTTGGTAAGATCGAGTGAATTTTTGATTTCACCATCCTTCCCACATAGCCAGGTGCAATAAACATGTTTTCTATTTAAAAAAAAAAAATACTGAGCATACAACCACACCTGGAATTGAATGTTTTTGGACATTTACAGTAGGAAAGTGGACTTAGGACATTTACAATTTAATCACTGGTAATCTAAAGATCAGTATTTAGTAATAAATGCTTCACTCCATTAACATTCCCATTGACTACTGTAATAGACTTTAGGCCTAATGGTTACCAATGTTAAATGTCATGCACAGAATGAATCCAAAAGCTTTAATGTCCTTCTGATGCTTTGGCCTGCTTCAAATCTGGTGCATGTTTCTGGCTGGCTGGGCATGCTAGGATTTCTCACTTTGACACAAATGGTTACTATATATATACAGTTGCAAGAAAAAGTATGTGAACCCCTTGGGATTACGTGGAGTTTTGCATGAATTGGGCATAAAATGTGCTCTGAACGTCATCTAAGTCACAACAATAGAAGAACACAGTCTGCTGAACATAATACTACACAAACATTAGATGTTGCCATGGTTTAATTGCACATAACATGTAAACATTCACAGTGCAGGGAGGAAAAAGTATGTGAACCTTTGATTTAATAACTGATTGACCCTCCTTTGGCAGCAATAACCTCAACCAAACGTTTCCTGTAGTTGCAGATCAGACCTGCACAATGATCTGGAGTCATTTTGGACCACTCCTCTTCACAAAATTGTTTCAGTGTAGAAATATTCTTGGGATGTCTGGTGTGAATCGCTCTCTTAAGGTCATGCCACAGCATTTCAATCGGGTTGAGGTCAGGACTCTGACTGGGCCACTCCAGAAGGCGTATTCTGTGCTGTGGCAGCCATTGTTTTGAAGAATTACTTGTATGCTTTGGGTCATTGTCCTGTTGCATCAACCATCCTCTGCGGAGCTTCAGTTGGCGGACAGATGGTCGTACGTTTTCCTGCAAAATGTCTTGATAAACTCTGGAATTCATTTTCCCATCAATGACAACAATCCGTCCAGGCCCTGAGGCAGCAAAGCAGCCCCAAACCATGATGCTCCCTCCGCCATGTTTTACAGTGGGGATGAGGTTTTGATGTTGGTGTGCTGTGCCTTTTTTTCTCCTCACATAGTGTTGTGTGTTCTTCCCAAACAACTCAATCTTGGTTTCATCTGTCCACAGTATATTTTGCCAGTAGTGCTGTGGAACATGCAGGTGCTCTTTTGCAAACTTCAAACGTGCTACAATATTCTTTTTGGACAGCAATGGCTTCCTCCGTGGTGTCCTCCCATGTACTCCATTCTTGTTTAATGTTTTCCTTATTGTAGATGTGTCAACAAAAATGTTAGCATGTGCCAGAGATTTCTGTAGGTCTTTAGCTGACACTCTGGTATTCTTCTTTACCTCATGCAGCATTCTGCGCTGTGCTCTTGCAGTCATTTTTACAGGACGACCATGCCTAGGGAGAGTAGCAACAGTGCTAAACTTTCTCCATTTGTAGACAGTCTGTCTTACCGTGGACACATGAACATCAAGGCTTTTGGAGATACTTTTGTAACCCTTTCCAGCTTCATGCAAGTCAACAATTCTTGATCATAGGTCTTCTGAGAGCTCTTTTCTGCGAGGCATGGTTCACATCAGAGAGTGCTTCTTGAAACCAGTAAACCCAAAACAGGTGTGTGTTTTTTAAGGGCAGGACAGCTGTCAGCAACACATCCAATATCATCACACTGATTGGAGTCAAGGTTGGCTCACTCCTGGCTCCAATTAGCTCTGGGAGAAGTCATTAAGCTAGGGCCTCACATACTTTTTCCTCCCTGCACTGTGAATGTTTACATGTTATGTGCAATTAAACCATGGCAACATCTAATGTTTGTGTAGTATTATGTTCAGCAGACTGTGTTCTTCTATTGTTGTGACGTAGATGACGTTCAGAGCACATTTTATGCCCAATTCATGCAAAACTCCACGTAATCCCAAGGGGTTCACATACTTTTTCTTGCAACTGTATATATATATATATATATAATAAAATGTGGTGCATGTCTGCCTATTTCAAACTTCACATGATGATAATTGCTTTGAGAATAAAAGTGAATTCCATCTCTGATCAGATAATGTATGACAAGAAGAGAATGTGCAATTGTATAATGACTGCATTTGGCAGTGTGTGGAATAAACAAAATGCAATTTTCATAGGAATCAGTTTTATCTGGAAGATTTGGCAGGGAAACTTGAGAATTGGGGCTTTAGATTTCACTATTCATGGATTGGTAAAGAGAAATTTTGGGCAGAAATAAAAGGTAATCAAGTTATGAAGTCATTTAAAAAAATCAATGAATGTAATTTAAATGTAGTTACTGTAAGTACCGGAATCTGTTTTGTTATCAGCCTCCTGTAATTCCCACAGCAGCACTTGGACTGGGAAATGAAGTGAAAGCACAAGGAGCCAATTAGGTTCTTTTGCATTCACATGAGCACAGGTTCTTTTGTGTTCACATGACAAATGAAGGAGAGAGCAGAGTGGACAGATTCACCTTTGCACTACTGCTCCTTCATAGTTAAATAGCTACATAGTTAACCTGGCTGAAAAAAGACAAAAGTCCATCCAGTTCAACTATTTAAAAAAAAAAAAAAAGTTCTAATCCTATACTCACAGTTGATCCAAAGGAAGGCAAAAAAACCCAGCAAAGCATGATCCAATTTGCTCCTGCGGGGGAAAAAAATTCCTTCCTGATCCCCCGAGAGGCAATCGGATATTCCCTGGATCAATTTTACCTATAAATGTTAGTAACCAGTTATATTCTGGTAATCCAACAAATAATCCAGGCCTTTTTTAAAGCAATCCACTGAGCTGGCTAGAACCAACTCCTGAGGGAATCTATTACACATTTTCACAGCTCTCACTGTGAAGAAACCTTTCTGTGTTATGAGATTAAATTTCTTTTCCTCCAGATGTAAAGAGTGTCCCCTTGTCCTCTGTGATGACCTCAGGGTGAATAGCTCTACACAGAGTTCACTATATGAACCACTGATGTATTTATACATGTTGATCATATCGCCCCTTAAAGCAGAGCTCCATCCAAAGGGGAAGTTCCACTTTAAGGACTGCTCCCCTGCTCCACATTAAGGATTGGCACCTTTGGGTGGCGGAGGGAGAGCGGGTACACCAATTTGACAGGTACCCGCTCCCACTTCCGGACCGATCGCCTAGGAAGGTGTCCTCCCTCCCTCCCTGTAGTCTTTTGGGACACGTAACAGGTCCCAGAAGACTGCAGGACCATTCATGAAGTGCAGCGCTACTCATGCATGTGCAGCGGGTACCCGGCTGTGAAGCCGCAAGCTATCACAGCTGGGTGCCCACACTGAAGATGCCGGCCTCCTGGAATACAGGACGGCTGGTGAAACAGGCACACACCACAGGACCGAGGGAAAGGTAAGTGGCTGTTTTTTAAAAGTCAGCAGCTACAGTTTTTGTAGCTGCTGACTTTTATTTTTTGACAGAGTGACTGGAACTCCACTTTAATCTCCTCTTCTCAAGAGAGAATAAATTCAGTTACTCTAACCTTTCCTCATAGATGAGCTCCTACATACCTCTTTCAGTTTGGTTGCCCTTCTCTGTACTTTTTCCAGTTTTCCCAATGTTCTTTTTGTTAATTGGTGCCCAAAACTGAACTGCATGTTCTAGATGAGGTCGTACTAATGATCTGTACAGGTGTAATATGATATCTCTCTCTCTGGAGTCTATACCTCTTTTAATACAAGAGGATTTTGCTCGCTTTAGAAACCACAGCTTGTGATCTACCAGAACCCCCAGATCCTTCCCCACCATTGATTCCCCCAGTTGTACGCCCCCTAGTATGTATGATGCATACATATTCTTAGTCCCCAAGTGCATCACCTTACATTTATCAACATTAAACCTCATTTGCCACATACTTTCCTATGTTTCCATAGCCTTCATTTTTTTTTTTGGAAGTTCAATACTGTTTATTTGGTTTTACCAAGAAATAAAAAAGCAACAGATCTGCCCATGCAGGGGCTAGCAGTGGTATTTGCAATGGAAGTGAACTTACATAAAAAAGCAAAAGACAGCAAAACAAAGACAATGGAGGTCAGTCAAAGACTGGCACAGCAGCAATAACTCAACACATATTATTAGCTTCAAAGGACAGAGGGCTGGAAGGGTCCCCCCCACGGCAGCAGGGCGTTCCCTGGCTCCGTCAGTACCCATGTGAGTTCGCTGTCTTCAGCTCATTTAGATGTAAGGAATTAGGAGAGTTGAGCAGGAACATAAAAGAGATTAGGCTAGAAGGTGATGCGACAGGGGAAAAGAGTCGTGCACCTGTAAAGCAGGGAGTGAAACGAATAACAGGGACAGAAGAGAGTTGGCCAGAGGGCCAGAAGCCAGAAAGGAGGAGAGGGGACAATTACAGGACTACCTGTCAAAGTAGGCCCAAGCTGGCTTGAGGAAGAGTGGAAAAAGCATGTGTCAGCCACGATTCCCAGATTTTGAGAAACTTAGCCTAAAAGTCATTGCGGATACTACACATCTGTTCATTGAGCGTCAGTGCAGTCATATGGTCTCTAACCCCCTGGAAGGGGACATACCTTTTTTCCAGGCTTGGGCTATCATTCTGATAGCTGACAATAAAAGATAAGAGGCGAGCTTCTGCTAATGAGCAAACAAACCCGGTATGGGGTAGCATAATAAGGCTCTATGTACAGGTAGGTGAAACAGTAAAGAGGAGGCCAAATACATGGGACCAAAACCCAACTTAATAAGGGCATGTCCACCACGTATGCAGAACACCACCTCGATGGCCACA